GTATATAACCATTGTATATCTCTGTATCTCTGTAACCACGTCTGTATATATTTTCTTTGTTTGAAATATCACTATGGACTGAATCGCATCCCTCTAGGTTCATATGTTTAAACTGTTAAATTGGCATCTGGTTATGGGGTCTTCGAAATTTCATTGGATCTAGATGAGATTATCAAGGCAGAACTCTTATTCATAGTCTCCTGTTCCTCAGATCAAATTATTTAATTTGGAGCAATTCTGGGGCAGCTTCAAATTAGGGAATCAGTTAGGAAAGATACAGTAGACTATTGAGGGGACTTATTAGAGGGAGGAGTCTACAATGTCCTTTGCCTAGTGACATGCTGGTAATGTTTACCAACAGCCTTCCAAGAAAAAAATTGCATAATTTATTAATTTTGACTGTGTATAGAATTCTTATCACATTTTATTTAAACATTAGGTATATCATCACTGAACATGGAGTCAGGAAGAGCTGGAAGTAACTTGAAGGATGCAGCCCCTTACCTACCCACTTTTTCTGCACTTGGACCATCACCTCTTTTTCCTATGGCAACCTCTAGCTTATGCCTCCAATATTACACCCCAATAATTTGCTCCCTCAAACTACAAGAGCCAATGTAGTCTCTGTATCACCACCTCGATGGGTGTCTCATTGCTCCAATATTTTTTATATGCTATCTACCAAGAGTCAATGATAGGAGATGTAGTTCTGTGCTAGAATTCTTTCTTAGCACTTGAAAGACATTGCATTCAATCTGAATGAAGTACGATAAACTATTGCTGCATTACTGTCATCACACCCGATCATTTAGAACGAACATCCACATCCTATCAAGTGAGCAGTAGGCTTGATCTAAAGGGTGAAGCAGCATCAAAAATTGAGCAATTGATATCAACCAAAGGTACCTTTGGAACATTAAAAATAACAGGAGAATTCCCAACACTGCAATATCTAACTAATCAGAGATGTGTTACTGCAGGTTGGACAACTCTGACCTACAAATACAAAAAAATCCAAAGTGCCCCCAAATCTGAAACTTTTTGCAAATTAACACAAGACCACAAGTGAAATTTTCTGTATGCCATTATGTGACAAGGCACAAAATGCAGGTACACCAAATCTATGCTATGAAATGAGCTTCCTTCTAAGTTTGGATGTGCAGAGACACAAATGCTGGGTTTTGTCTATAAACTGAGATCCCATCTTATCATGTATATGCAAATATTCCAAATTCAGGAAGAAAAAAAACAAGCTCTAATCCACATCAGGTACCAATCACTTTGGGTGTGAAATAATGAACATATATCTCTAAAGCCTTTCAAGAAGTTTTAAAAGTACCTGTTTTCCATACAGGAACATGTGTGGAACTAAGAGATGGAATATGAAAACAAATGTGAACCAATTCAGAATATCATCTCTACTTTCTAATTGTGAGTAACTGGACAAATCGCCTCCTGTGTAAAATAGAGGCCACTTACAGAACTTTTATTATTAATCTTGATGTTAGTCAGTGTCAGAATGACCTGTGTATGGTTTCCAACAGCAAATTCTCAGAACGGCGGCAGTACAGAAACACCAAAAGAGAAGGGCAGGTGGGAAGAGGTTGCAAGCAATAAGCTAACTCCTTCTCTATCCATCCTGAACCCTAAATAGCCTGTCAGTGTCTAGCCTCTAACTTTGAAGGCAACATCTGTATTCACATCAGTTCCACCACCCCAGATGTTCAACATGGCCCTTTTCCTCATTTCCCTACCTGGAGAACTAGTTCTTATTCTTTGGAGTTCTGATCCCAGGCCCCACATGGCAGTGGTACAGCAGATGGTTAATGTCTAGAGACTTTAAAGACATGCCTATGTGAGAGGCACTATGCTGGACTTCACAGCTACAAACCCATTTCACAAAATGTCTCCTTTCCCATTTACACTGTGCTGTGGCAAGATAGGGAGGGAGCTGTAAAAATAAGCAGTCATTTCAAGAAAATGCCATAAACTCTTTGATAAAGGTGTATCTGGAGAAAATTTCACTCTTTCTCCTCCCGATACACAGATAGACTCAATTTTCCAGGCACTCCTGCAGTTAGATGTGTCTCAAGACTGAGTTGTGTCGTATGGATGTTGGTAGGAATGATTTATCCCACCTGAAGACCTTTCCATAAACACCTATACAATCCTCCACCTACCCTCTTTCTTCAGCACCAGCTGAATGGAGAGAGTACTGCAATCCAAGAAGAAGGGCAAGCCACAAAAGAGAACGATCCTGTCATATTGGCAAGAACAGGGGGCAATGAGAGCTTATAGACACTCTCTACAGCACCTGGCACGTACAGTAACGATGGAGACACAAGACGGCCTTTCCTCAACGAGACATTTCAGATTACCCAAGTGAGGACCAAATGTGACCAGCAGGGAATATAGTCCAGTAGCACTATTATTATTATTATTGTATTTGGCTAAGCACCACACAAGGACCTAGGAAACAAAGGATAAGAATGGAAGTGGAGGGAAGGAAAGAAGGGGGGGGGGAGGAAGAGAGACAAAGATAAAATGGCGACAGAGGCAAGAAAGAAGACAGATACAAAAAATGTAAAAGACTGATCGGCAATGTGAAAGCTTCCTGAGAAATGAAAGCGCTGTCAGTCTTTTCAAGACAAATGGAGCAGCTTACAAATCTCGCAAGTGTGCATGGAACTCCCTTTTTTTATTTATTTATTTATTTATTTATTTATTTGATGACTTGATTGTTGAGAAACTGTTTGAGGCATCTGGGTTTTACATTGACGTTTCAGTGAAATCATATGTAGACATGATGTCTGAGGGAACCTTTTGTCGGGATGCTCTTTTAGAGCTGTTGGTTGTGTTCACATTTGGGTAAGTTATCCATGTAGGATGAACTAGGTGAAAATCTCCCTCCAGGCCTTCCTACTGCCTGTTAAGAAGTCCCAAAGCTATAAAACATAATCGCCACCAGAATTGGAGCTGGTTGTAAATTAAGCATTGGGAAAAATCAAAGTAAGACAATTTCCGAAAGTCCCTACTCTTTGAGAATGGAGTTCACAGTCACCAGAAGAAACGGACTCCCTAACTGTGGAACAGTGTGCCTGGCAAGCTCATCCTTTTGGTGGAAATCGCCTCGTGAATCTAGAAAGTGCTCAGCCAGCGACTCAATGGCAGGTGGAAAAAGAAGAGTACTTGGGTTTCATTTCCTAGTACAGGCTCAGCAACCCCAGCCAAGGAACCTGAAACCCAAAATGCTCCAAACTCGACAACGTTTTAAGCAGCGATTTTACAGCATACATAGCAAAGTCCACACCCAAACTCCTGTGAAGAGTCTCAGTCAAAATCTGCACATACTACAAATACTGCATAAAATTATTACAAGTCTACATGCATATGTTATACATAAAATAGAATGAATTCTATATTCAGACTTGGATCCCATTTTCAAGATAGCTCATTAAGTATATGACCACTTCTGGGCCCAAGTTCTTTGGATAAGGGATCCTTCACATCTATTTTAGAGCTAGAAAATGTTTACAAAGTACCTTTATAATATAGTAATTCCTCCATGTTTCCCACAATCCCAAAAAAGAGAAACTATCCTGGGATACCTGTTTAAAATCCAGATTCCTGGGGCTAGAGAGATGGCTCAGTTGTCAAAAGCACTAGTTGCTTTTGCGGAGGGTCCAAGTTTGGTTCCCAGTGTCAGTTCACAACTGTCTATGAATCTAATTCCATGGAGATCCAATGCCCACCTCTAATATCCATAGGTACCAGGCACCCACATGGTACCCATTTATATATACATGCCAATAAAACAATCAAACTACAAAAATAAATCAATATTTTATGAAAGAAAAGAAAATAAAGATTCATGACCCCTGCAGACCTACTATACCACACTCTGTGGAGGAGGTGGAGTTTGGTGTCTGTATTTTCAACAGGCCTACGGAGATGTGGCAAGTGTCACCCATCGTGTGCAGTAATAAATAGCTTAGCATCATATACGCTTACCCGCTGTCAAATTCTATTTTCACTTAGCGAATTTCTAAAGGATCACTACTTCTCTCGAGGTGAATTTGTTGTTTCTTCTGTGGGTTTTTTTTCTATATGTGTCAATGAACATGGAAGAGACCTTAAACAGCTGCAGCTTTTTGTGGCAATCTAGATGTTTCTCTGGGGTAGAAGTGGAAATTAGATGCTATATTTTATTACTAGGGCTTCATTAGGTGCCTTTGAAAAGAAACTTAATGCCTGGAAATCAGGACAGAACCTGAATAATAACATATTTTTGTTTTTACCACAGCACAGCAATTAGCTTTAGTGGATTGTTTTTATAAATTTGTTCACCTTTCATTTTCTGTATCAAATCTAAATGGCTTAATGAACATAAAACACATGAGCATTTTTAGGACTTTTTTTTTTCACTGTAGTCCTACGCTAGCAAAGCTCCAAACCCTAAACATTCTTTCAAAGAAGAAACACGTCATCTTTTCTAAAGTTGTTTTATCCATTTAATTTTCCTCCAGCTCTCAAAGCAGTCTTGTCTTTTCAACACAGGTAATTTGGTCTGTTGCCAGCAAACAACTTGCTGACTGAAAAAAAAAAATAGACCAGAAAGGAAAAAATAATGCTGCAAAAGGCCAAAAATGAACTGGGGGGAAAGTATTTATGTAGAAATCTCAGGAAATAACATCATTACTAACTAGTTCTTAAAACTAATAAACAACCTAGGTTCTCTGAGGAAACAGCATGGAGAAATAAAAAAAAAACATGGGGGTAAATTAGGGGCATAAAACATTGGGTATTTGTTGTCATCTCAGCAAGCGAATTACCCCGGACAATGATGTAGGCCAACTCAGCAAAAAGGGCGCTGCAATTTTCCCTCACTGTTTAGCTGTAACTTTCTTTAAAAGCAATTTTCCAAGCACATGAAAAATGGAAGCCCTTCTAATTTATAGCAAAAACAAAGGCCACAGTAAAATGCACATGAAAGTTCTTACTTCTTCCTCTCAGAACCTAATATCCTAAATAAATCTTTAAAGTATTGTGGGACGCGGACCACCACATTCTCCGAGGGACCGATGTCTTTCAAGTGTGGGTAGAGTCTGGTATCAATGACTTTCTTGATATAGCCCAGCCAGTCAAACTGAGGAGAGAGAAAACAAACGAAACCTATGGTAAGGCAGCAAGTAAGAGAAAACGGCATTCAGATAGAGTAGGCTGAGCATAATCCACTCCATCCAAATCATTAAAGATAAAACTGCGCATCATTTGCTTATCCAGAAGCCAAAGTCAGATCATTGCCACTTAGCCCTGTGGCTTTCATCACAAATGGCGCCTGTGTTCTGCAGCACAGACTTCTGGATAGTAAACACTCTCGTGCTTTAATATATGATGCACTCCCTCAGCTGCCCCAGCCCTCCTCACCCTCCGTTTCCTCTCTATCTGATTCCCTCAGTCCCACCTCATTCCAAGCCCTGCTCTTCTGTTGGCTTGGGGTCACTCCTCTACTTCTCTGCACTCCCTCCTTCAGGCTTCTCCCCCTACCTCTCACTTTCCCCTCTCCTTCCCCTAAACACAGATGGAGAAGCCTTAGCACACCTTGGATCTTCTTCTCTGTGCAACCTCCCTGATTCCAGGAGGGGGGGAAACACAACAGAATAGCTCACCTCCATTCTATAGAGCATCATTGCATGTTTCTAAAACAAACACGGTTTTGTGCTTTGTATCACTAAAGGCCATCTGCTGACTTCTTCCTCCTTTGTCTGCCTCCACTAGTGAACCTGAAAGCCAGTGACTTACTTGTTTAGCTCCCACTTCCCTACCTCTTGCCCCACAGCAGGGATGGTCACGTGGCCCAATTCTACTAAAAGCAAGTCATCTAGGAATATGCTAAAAGGGGGCTTTTCTGTTTACCTTGGTAAAAATAAACAAGTCAGATGGGACCGTGGGCCCTTCCCCCTTCTCCTGGATCTAGTGAGGAAGAGCTACAGTGGTCACTTTGTGGCCGTGTCATCAAAATGAACTAAAAAGCCCGAGGAGGGTAAAATGTAGAGATAAAGTCTATGCAATGCTAAACAGCTGAACCAGCACCAAAGAGTGCCCATGGCTGTGTTGTAAGAAAATGGCCTTACCAGCTGGACCTGGACTGAAGGAGCTGTTATCAAACCGGACTCTCTGAATGTGGCTGACAATGAGGGCTGACTGAGAAGCCAAGGACAATGGCACTGGGTTTTGATCCTACTGCATGCATTGGCTTTGTGGGAGCCTAGTCTGTCTGGATGCTCACCTTCCTAGACCTGGATGGAGGGGGGAGGACCTTGGACTTCCCACAGGGCAGGGAACCCTGACTGCTCTCTTAGGACTGGAGATGGATGGGGAGGGGGTGAGTGGGAGGTAAATGGAGGGGAGGAGGTGGAAATTTTTAATAAATAATTTTTTTAAAAAAAGAAAATGGTCTTACCAACTTAACCACTATCAGAAAGCTATTAGTATTCCCTGCATACAACTGAAGAAATCCCACTGTACATACAAGGATATTTTATATGATAGTAAAAGAGAAAGATAATCAAAATGATAAATAGTAAAAGTTCATATTTACAAGGCTAACTTTTATACACAGATGAAATATAATCCCTTGTAAAGTATCAGGCAACAGAGTTGTTTTTTTCAGAGAGTTTTCACCAACCTGGGGAATCATTGCACTGAGTTCTGAGATGTTCATTTTGTTATACATAGCCTCACTGGTTCGGTTTTCATGTGGAATCATTATCTGTCAAAAAGAGATTTAGGTTAGTTTTTCAAATAAATCATTTATTATTGCATGACTGCTTCTCGCATGTGCCAAAACATCTGTATATTATTATCAGCTTTTTCAAGACTTTGGTGTGATGCCCAGCTGTGGGGAGAAATAAAAAAAATGCCCGAATTTTAGACAGGATTAAGAAAATAAAAAGAAATTTAGATATCCTCTTCAGTAGGAAATATTGTCGCTAGTACAAAAAGAAGTTCCCATAATGCCCTTCTCCTTTACCATGTGGATGGGCCAAGTCCATTGCTGGCTCAGTTTTGACCACCAAGCTGAAGTTGCACAATTATGGTCAACATTCCATGTTTACCTAAGGTATCCTGATAATGATCTCAGCTCATTCACCTCTAGGGGACAATGGTCAATGACAAAAAGGAAGCAATGTGCATATCATTGGTACCCAGGATCAGTTTTCTTATTTTTTTGACCTTCAGATTTCCCACTGCTGGTGGTATGAATTTGGTCGCCACCTAAGCAGACAACTCACAAACTTCTAGCCTCTACCATATAAATCTAAGACCTGCAAAAATGACTCTTCCTCAAGTCATCTTAATCCCTTCCATTGACCAGCCATAGCTCCCTTCCCCACATTATCACTTGACTTTTCTATCTTTCTACTCCCTTGCACCCTTCTAGCCATCTTCTGCCTCACCCAGCTCTCCTGTCCTCACACCTCCTGCCCACTATCACCATCTCCATGGCTAAGACTGATTGAAAACTCGGCCTGAGGTTTCTGTTCTCTAGAAGCCTTTTCAATTGACCTCTACTTCGTTCTAATCGCCAGGACGACTCCATGAACAAGTCCTCTCTCTCCTTGATCAGTCTCTCAGACAGGGATTGGGTGGCTGCCTATTTTGTAGCTATCTTTATTTATTTGGATTTGATGAGGTATTTTTTTTTTCCTTCTCAGCCTCAGAGACTCCCAAAATCTGTGTATCTCAGTAGTTTTTAGACGTGACGAGTCATCTGAAGACTAAGAAAATGAGAGAAACCTTCTGACCAGGCAAAAACTCCATGCACCACAGATATTTCAAGACAAAATCACAGAAGATGAATGGCAGGCAATTGTCCCTCTCTTCTAAGTCCTTCGGCGTCTTAATGTCTCCCCACTCTCCACTGGAGAGAT